CGACTATATACTACCATAGGGGGAAACGATAACAATGGAAAGGGTTAGAAATAATACCTTAAGGCGAAAATACTGCCACTAAGGGGAAATTTTAACAACGTTAAGGAGAAATATAGACAAAGGATTTTTCCCCCTATGAGTTAGTTAGGAGTAGTATATATGTATCATAAAAAAAAAAATCAAATAATTCTAACATCAAACACTAGCAGCAAAGTATTAAATTGCAATTATTATGGGCAAGTAGCAATAAAACTATCAATTTTTTGGCTGCTCAGGTAGTAGCAAACCAATACTTACTGGCTGCAAATAACAGCAAATGGTGTGTGCAAGTAGCATCAAACCATTATATATTACTGGTTGCAAGTAGAAGTAAACCATAATTCTTTTTGGTTGCAAGCAACAGCAAAGCATTACAGTACTTCCAACAATGTAGTATTAAAACCATACTGTAGCAGTAAACCATTACTTATTGGTTGCAAGTAGCAATAAAACCAATAGATACAGTACTTGCAACCAACTTGTAACACATGACAACCCACAACCAAGTACTTACAGCCAATAAAATTAATTCTGAATTTGCAACCAAAACTGTTTGCTTTGTAAAAACTTTGTAGTACTTGGTACAAATCTAATCTTACTGTACACTGTATATATATGTGTCCCACCTGCAGCAAAGCATCACTTGAAAAGCCTGTATCTTTAAACTGAACCAGTATTATGAGTTAGCAGTTCCCGTACAAATAGAAAAATATGATTAAAATATTGATTTGCAGTCTTTTCCCACTCCTCCAATTCTGAGTATTCAAGTCCACAATAATGTCACATGATTTTAAAAAGCAGACAGCATATAAAAAATCGTTCAACTCTCTGATTGCTGTAACTTCAATTTACATTTTTTTAAAAAAATCTACTCTTTTGATATATTCAATTGAATTGTTGCAGTATGCAGTTACTGGATGCATGGTTGGCAGCAAACAAGTCACAGTTACTACCATCTACAACATTTACCACTTGGTTCATGTGGAGTATATCACTGGGTTGTGCCATGCTCTGCATTTGTGAGTGTTGCTGCTGCTGCATGATCAGACCCTGTGGCTTAGGATCCTGTAAAGAGGGGTAAGGTGGTGGCAACCTGGAAGGGAGTGCAGTATGACCATCAAACTGGTGAAACTGACTGGAGTCCTTCAGATTGTTGTACATCGCAGATTGTTGCTGCTGCTGAAGGAACATTGGATGATTCTGTGGCATCCTTATCATTCCTAAATGAGACGTTTGTGGCTGTGAAAAAGTCTGTTTCTCTGGTGTTATCTGTCCATGAAATATATTATTTCCCATTTTGGGCATATGGTGAGGTATTCTGAGATCTCCATTAGTCTGCATCATCTGTGACTGATGCGGCTGGTTAATAGGGCTGGCCTGAATCTGTGGATTTAATATTTTGTACATTTCCTCTGCAGGTATGAGCGGTATGGCTGTAGGCTGCTGGTTAAATTGTACTCCCGATGGTGGCTGGTGGTTTTCTCTACTCTGATTAACCATCAGTGTCTGTTGCTGATGGAACTGATTTACAGGTGTCCGGTTCTGCTCAAAGTCTTCCCGTTGCATCTGTTGTCTCCTCAACAATGTCTCCAGATGCTGTTTTTGTAATAGCTTCCTTTGCTCTTCTTGATTCTGTATAAGTTGCAATCGTTGTCTTTCTTGCTCCTCTTCTAAACATTTTTGCCGTTCCTTAAACTGCTCCAGTAATTGCTGATCTTCCATATTATTATTCAGCATAATTGGCCCCTGGACAACATTCCCATTGGGGAGCATACTGATATTATTCATGAAATTACTGCCTTGAGCTCCTTGAAGGATGGCCCCTGGCTGCTCTGCTCTGGAACTACTGCCAGGTTGTGTTAGTAAAGAATGAAGAATTGACGACTGTTTAGAATCTGATTCCACATTGTGACTCGCCATGCTAGTAGGTGAGCTTGCATCATTGATTTCAAGCTTTGATATACGTTCTGTAACATGGGCAGTTGGTGCTTTCTGCTGCATCTGTGTGGCATTGATTAGTTGTGGTGAGATATTGACACCTTGTGGTTTACTGACATCTTGTGGTCTGACATTCACACCTTGTGGTGTGACATTGATTCCATGTGTGACACTACCTACTTGTTGTTTATTTACATTGAATGCTGCATCATGAACACCACTTTTTGGTGCAGGTGCCAATCCACTTTGATTTCTAACAAAGTTCAGTGAATCAGAATGTGCAGCACTCATGCCTTGGCCATTTTGAACTGGCTGATTAACAAAGCCTTTAGGCTTCTCCAGTGGATCCTGTGCTAACTGTAAACCTGTAGGCAAATTTTGATCACTGGGTATCTCAGTAATTGTCACGCCATCATTATCAGCTGCTTTAGTGAAATCAAAGACTCCAGCAGACATCATTGCATCTGCAGCAGCATTGTCAATAATGTTTTCAATATTGTATTCAAGGGTAAAGTTGGCAATATCTTCTGGAAGGCTGGTGCTTTGTGGTCTCTCAATTTTTGTCACTGTTACATTCATAAAGTTATTTTGACCACTTCCAGGTGGAAATTTCATTTTCAATGCATCAGCAACTAAATCAGTATCACATGGTGAACACGGTGTCAGCAGTTTTTCAAGAATACTTGGTCCTTTGTTAGGTTTGTCAAGGAAGTCCTCATACTGCAATGCAGTTGGACTGTCTGCAGGATCCATTGTGAGTCCAGGACTCATAAGCTGACTTAAGTTGTCAGGACTGTTCAGATTGAAAGACACGCCAGGTGGAAGACCCACTGGAATATCTGTCGGGTCAGATTGTAAATCCTCCATTGTAATCTCCATCAAATCATTGAATATGTTGTCTTCCTCTGTGATGGATAACGCAGCATTACTTCTTCCCGAATGCACGTTAGTTTCAGGTGAGCCCTGAGAGCTTTCATTTGAACTGGCTTCTGAGCCCGGCTCGCTGTGTAAAGGTGATCCATATTGTTCATGAGGCCACACTGCCTCTTCCTTTAAAACAACAGTGCCATTGGCTTGGTTTGTCAGTGGTGCACCCCCTACACAGTTGGCATCCCTAACTACCTGTGGGTTTACATTGTTGCCAGGTTTGGGGCTACTCTTTGGTGGCCCCGGCTTAGATGAACAAGAAGCAAAGGATGCAGTATTTGAGGAGGATGGTTTCTCTGTGCTGACCTCCATTTCATTCACTTTCTCACATTCATGAGTCTCTTGTTTTAAAAGTGCGGCAATATTCAGAGTTGGTGGCTGACTGTAAGGTTTTCTGATGACAACATTTTCAAGAACAGGTTGTGGTATCAATTTAGCAATATCAGCATCGCACATTGTTGATGTTCGTTCCGGGACCTCTATGGGTTCTGGTGAGGGGGTGACTCTGTCAGTCTCCATCATATCAGAAGCGGGTGAGGATAAACCACTTTCGATTCCACTGTCCACATTTTTTTGCATACGTTCAAGCATCAAATATCGATCACCTTCTTCTTGTCTGTAAAATATTGAAAAAAAATTAATTAATCAAAATGCATCTTATGTAACAATTACCTACTGACATTGAGTTGAGTGTTTCTATTATATTTCAAAAATGTTTATTATTATGTATTCTTATCATAAGTGATAAAACAACATCACAAGTTTTTCAAGTTAATTTTTATTAGTGTGATTTTAATGAATACCTTTTAACTTAGATGTTTGTCCTGTGCAACCAGGAAGGCCTAATTATAAATGTTGGTTCATGAAACGATGACCTTACTCAGGCGATGCCAGTTTGGCCACTGGACATTGTTCACCAATGGTAGATTGATGATTAAGGATTAATGAGTGATAGCATTCAATACCCAGCGAAAAAACGGAGGTCATTTGGGTTAGGTCATCAATGAATGAACTTATACTTATGATTAAGCCTTCATGGTATTACAGGCGAAGTGGAGAAATTGGGAGGTAAATTTGTATTACTACAATGCACCATAAATTTTCCAATAAGCGGCTCACTCGGAAAAACACTTAATGAGATTTTTTTTCAATTTATACGAACAGAGTAGTTTTTCACTTACCCAATTACATAATTCATGCACACTACATACTGCGCTTCATTGTTGGTATTGTAAATTATTGTTGCTTTTGTCTGCATCCAAACCCAGTCGCCATTCTTACCAAGAAATCGGTAGTGTTTGGTGGAACTAGAACCTTTCACAATAACTATGGAATTAAATAAACATGAATAACAAATAACAAATTTTTGATTTTCTTCTCATGAATCATAGGAAGACCACCAGTGGTCTCTGACAACATAGCTACAGTTGATAAAATAGCTAACATAGATATTCCTATTATAGATGTTATTGTAATGTCCTTAGTAACAACATTACTAGTGATTCCTATTAAAAAATAATCACTGAGGATGACATTGGTAATAACATCATGATTTTACCTAAATTTTACATGGTAATCACTGCCGTAATTTTGAGGTTTGTTTGCTAAGAATGACTTCTTGAAGAAATGTTTTTACACATTATACTTACGCTTTGCATGACAGTCACTAACTTTATTTGCATCGAGTGGGTTATGGAACTGGTATGCTGTCTTGCCTATTAACTCATGAGGCTCGTACCCAATTAGGGTTATAATTCTAAATGAAAAAAAAAAATAATACCATGAAGTGGAATTATGCTGTGTATACGTGGAAAAAACATACTCTAAAAACTTTGAATTGAAGCCTTGGGCTCCTTTTTTTTTTTTGCGAACTTTGGATGGGCTTCTTTTCGAGGCTACTATTACAAAGTAAAGAAGGGGGGGGGGGCTTCTTTTCAAAATGAATGCTGTAAATTTTGTGAATTTGTAATATGAAACAATAAATAAGGCCACTGTAACATCAATCTGTATCATGGAGTGTATTTATTATATGGCATTAAATCACCAAAACTACTGTATAAACAAAGCTTGTCTTCAATTTATTTTGTTTTTTTAAATTCATGTAAAGTGTATGTACTGTACTATCTCGGAAAGAAGCTTATGCTATCTTGAAAAGAAGCCCATGGGCTTCTTTTCGAGGTTAATTTTGCAAACTAAAGAAGGGGGGGGGGGCTTCAATTCAAGGTTTCACTGAATAAATAGCAGGGCTAAACATTTTAATGATTAGTGACAAAAGTTTAAGATGTTCAACTTATATAGCCAATGTTACTATGGTCATCAAAATAAATCATTCCTACAATTATCACAGACCCAGATGAAGTTATCTGATGCGTTAGAAGACTTGACATTTTAGTGCAACAAGTACATGGTTGTAAGTAATACTGAGCTAACATCCCCACTCCATGGTGAATTACTTGTTCCATTTTACAATACAGGAATACAATATCAGGAATGATATTTCACTCACAATCATATTTCTCAATGGGCATGGGGATTGGGAGTCAATCAATCAGTTGGTTGGTTGGTTGCTTGATTGATTGATTAACTGAGAGAATAAGGTTCCTTATCAAGGAACAAAAACCAATAGCATTGGACAGAAACTTACCTCTATGAGATACGTGTGCCTTACAACATGCCATTATTATTATTATTATTATTATTATTATTATTATTATGCTACTAAAACCTACCTTAAGGGGAACTTAGACAATGGAGAAATTAGAGAACAATTAAAAAAACGATGTTAAGGGGAAAATAAAAAGGTAATGGTTCGAAACCTGAAGCAGGCTGTCTCTTTCTTTAGCGTTTGGGCCAGACTGTTGCAAGGGGAAAATAAAATGACGTTAAGGAGAAAATAACAAAAAAAAAATATTCCCCTTTAAAAGTCCGACTTAGCGCATATTATTATTATTTATTATTATTATTATCACCTGATGGTACAGGTTCAACATTTCACCTCTGCAAGGCTGTAATAACTGGGTCACATAACGTGAATCTCATCTGTTCCATGTCTTAGAACTGGAGTGAAACCTATGTATACTTTAAGCATTGAACTATGTCCCACTACCAGGTTGTAACTACTTACCGTGGGTCACAAAATGTAAAGCTCATATCCATCCTATGTCTACTCATGAACATATTGCCATCCATTCGGACTTCAAGGATGGGCTGCGGCTGTATGGGTCTGCACAGGCAGATGAGGCCTTCCACACTGTACCCCTTGCTGTTTGAAGAACACTTCAACTTTAACCGTCCCGAAAACTGTACAACCTGGAAACATAGAGGGATTATGTAAATTTAATTCTCCAGAAAAAATAAAGGTAATTGCAGATATGCTTGAAATATGGTTATTATTCAGACAAGAGATAAGCATTCTAATAACAGACTGATGTTGCTAGACATTATACTTGTTGGCAGAGCTGTAGGAACAGGCTATAGATACAATATGTGATTGTGATGTCAGGTCAGGATAAAAACCCAAAAGAACTTTACAATACAAGCTTCATGAAAGACTCGTAGCGTATTAAACACTCTCTGCTCCCTAATCCTCATAGACTTGGTAATAGAGCACAAGAGTCAGAAATGATCATCTCTTTACTTTCTTAACCTCATAGAGCATCAAGTATATTATAAACTCACTTCTACTCCACAAACCCCATAAACAGACTTAGTATTAAAGTTTAGGGTCACAAACCATCATCCCTCCTCAATCAAAATCATCCTATTTACAATCAGTACACTGTACATGAGATAACGACCACAAGAGCTAGTTCCAAGGCATTTGGCCACATTGAAGAGAAATCAACTCACCCTATAACCAACTACTTTTCCCTTATTGCTACTCCCACGTCGTGACATCACCGAGCGCATACGTAGGAAAAACTGTCGTTCTTGTACATAATCCTTCAAAGCATTAGTTTCCTCTGTCTCGTTAGATGCTACATAGAGAAGAAAGTTGAGAGAAAAATTAAAATCAATAGTATTCAATAGCCAGACATAACTGAAAAAATGTTTGTTCACTCATTTATACCCAACGCAATTCGGTAAGTGGACAAAAAAAATTATGGTATAAATTATCTAAGTTTAGGTTCTATAAAATGGACATTAAACAAAAAAAAATCATGATACAGAAAAGATGGATCGGTTTATTTGGTGTAAACACCAAGGATAACCCACAAAAGTCTAATGAAGGCTTATTTCCAGTACTCTTTTCCGAAGAGTGCATACTTGTGGATAGTTTAACATGCACATTGTGAGTGGATACTTTAACATGCAGATAGGCCATAATGCACACAGACCAATGGCTTAAAACATTTCATCCAAAAAACAGTGCGCTATCGTAACTTGCACTTTAACCCTCCAGCTGAACCAGGAGAGCAGTGATGGGAATTGAGCTGGGGGCCTAGAGAGGGTTTAGTGCACACACAGTGGCTACCACCAGTTTAGCCGACTAAGCTGCTCCCAAAGAAATATGAACTGTGTAATCTTATATTACTTATGCTTTATAATTACTAATAGAGTATATGGTATAATGGTATCAACTCTAATAATTATTATGTCAGAGATTTGATTTTTTTGGTATTAATGCTTCTTTAATGATGTATAAAAAAATAATTAAAATTTAACTTTAATAAAATAGGTAATTGTAATGGAAGCATATTTAGCTTAAGTACCAAAAATAAATAATTACATTTTTAGCTCAACAGCACACAAAATTCCACTTCTAATAATTACACTCAAAAAAATTTATCTCCTTGTCATACTTGTCCATTACATGTTGAAAATTTGACATTTACAATTTATGATTTGCCCTTACGAATTAGCATACTGGCAAGCCTAAATTTACTATCAACAAATATTTTATGTAGAGCTTGTGCAGTATTTTGTTTAGAGAAAGAAAGAAAATCAGCCTGAAAATTTAATCCATTGGTCAAATTCATCCAGGATTTCTTGTTTCCTGACATATGGTTAACACATAAGTAAAGACTCACAAACGCTTAATAAGGCTCACAAACGCTTAGGATGACCCATTTCTAAACAAAATCCATTCAATATACAACAATATTTTCACTTTCATTTTCAGCACGCAGGTGATTTAATCCATGTTTCTATTATCACTATCAAAACTGATAAAAATCAGTTTTATACGAAGCCTCACAAAATCTATAAGCAATAGTGTAATACACATAATAAAATCTATATTCCCCCACCCTCACTTCCAACAGTATGACTAAAAACACTCCACCATGCAAGTCTTATAAAATAGGACTTGGGTACTTCATTGGCAATGTTCTTGGTTGTAATTAAAGGAAACACTCTTCTAATATTAACTTGCAGTCTATATGAAAAACAATTTATACTATCTTAATCTAAACAAAAGGTTACATGTTGACTTTGATGATTCCAAGGGGCCTGTAGCAATTACACAAACACCCACGCGCACAAGTGTTGCATAGATTAAAAGAAATCAATTTCTAAAATGATACAAGTCCTAAGTTTGTTGTTTAATGTCAATGGTAAAATTTGGAAAAATCTCAATGTTTCAATTATAGCATTTAACTGCCAATTTCAAGATTAAACTATCAATTAAGATTTTTGAGTTTTTATGTCAGTCAAGCTTGGGCAACTTCTTCTGAGCATTATGCTGATAAAAATATGTACTATTTTTCAACGTTGGAAAAAGTTGTTTATGTGTTGACCCTGTTGCTCGGACGACCAAATACAGGCTACTAAATAGGGGTCATGTGAAATGATCCTTTGTAATATTATTACTATGATGTGAAATCAATGGATTAGGCTACTTAAAAAATTAAGTTAAACTATGGATCTTGGTTGAATAATCCTTAAGAATTAAAACCTTCCTCCTATTATATTAAAGAATTTAAGCATTTTTTTTCAATTAAAGAACTCATTTACATAAAGAATTTAACTTTTTTTTTCTATTGAAAGAAGTAATTTGGGTAAGTTTGTCTATGTGAGCCTAAGAGCGTAAAATGTTGCCACAATGCAAAGATCACGGTGAATGCGTTAAGCATTCACAGCTCACAAAAACATTCCCTTAAATCAAAAGCACATCTGAATAGCAGTGCATGGCTCAATGAACATAATTATCCCGATCGTGGACAGCTAATCGTAGATGGCTAATCGTGGACGGCTAATCGTGGACAGCTAATCGGACTACTGATCGACGAATGGTTTATGAGGTACCAATATCATTGTTTTTGTTGAAATCAGTCAACTGCGATCAAATTTATGATCATATTTATGATTTTGTTATGTATTTTGTATTTTTATATTTTACCACTTATGGCCTTGCACGGCCTTGATGAAAAACACCCTTGGGTGATCAAGTTTTTCCGTGTTTAAATAAAGTAATTATTATTATTATTATTATCACATAATATGAATACTCAGTAAGAATTACACAAGTTGATTTATCCATGATGCCAGTCAAACAATCCAGGTAGCTAAGTCCCACTGGTTACTTAATACTGGTGAGCTGTATGTTATGTAATACTGACACCTAGACACATTTATCACTGTCCAGAATGATTTTTCCATATTCTCCCTACAAATTATCCTGTCCAATATCTGGACAGAATTGTAATTTTCCCAGATTATTGACAGGAAGGAACAATTTTATAGTAGTATCCTATGGATTATAATATTCCCATTTATCAGACAATAAAACTTTGTTATGGTATACAATATTAGTATTAATGTCATGTTATGGTATACAATATTAGTATTAATGTCACATTGAGTCTCCTCAAAGCTTAGAAAACAGCCTTAAAAAATGTAGGCTATCTTTATTAAGTTGTGGAATGAATTAAGCAGTCATACAAAAACAGAAATAGATCAGGTATATGAAAACAGAAACCAAGGCTATGTTTATTGGTGGGTATTTGGTGTCTGTTTTTTAAACACCCTTTAGAAATGACTAAATTTAAATACACATACTCATTTTAAACCTAATATGAACTAAAATAAATAAGTAAGCATGTAGGATAGAAGTATTTTTAAGTACTTTGAATGTTCTTATGTTTAGTTGATGTATTATTGCTAGTGCAAATTTAACTTTAACATTTCTTTAATGATGTAATTTTTTGGCCTTGGCAAACAGTAACATTGAGTTGCGGTGAATAAGTGTTTCCGTGGTTAAATAAAGTATTAATGGTGGGGTTTTACCTGGGTTAAATACTTTGCATGACAATTACACACAATTTATTAGGTGGACTTATACAAGAGGACTACAAAATAAAATTGATACCTTCAAACCACGGTTTTTAGCACTGTAGCTAACATAAAATATTCCATTAAAACTAACTGAAATATAACAAGTAATCTAATTGTCAAAGAATATTTTTAAAGGTTTTTTTTTTTTTCTTTTAGCTCAATTCAGATATCTAAGCAGAAACTAGAGGGGAGTGAACATACAGGGTGTGAATTAACATTCCTCTACATATGTGGTATTCCAAAAGACATGCCCTAGGGCCTGGCTGTTAACAATGCTGTTTTTTTTTTAGTAGTCTTTGTTCTACACCTTGTGTGCAGGTACAAAGACACAGTTCTCAGTTCAGCTACAACGATGCCTTTGAGAATCTGAGTGTTTGCAGTTACATTCCTTAAAAACAAACTGCGTAGCCAGTTAAAAATGAATGGTGCAATAGTAGTTTATCCTTCACATTTATCCTCTTTTTTTTTTTTTTTTTTTCAACTATCCCAGGTATTATTTTAGTAGTAGATTAGGTTATAATTTAGTTTATAAAAACCATGTATAAGTCCTTAGTCATTAGCCTAGCTGCTCAAAAGAGTGGGTTGAAAAGCCGGAAACCAAATCATGTTACCATATTATACATAGAGTACAGTTGGTTTATGGCAAATCTCCAAGAAAAAAACCCTCAAAATGCCCGTGATCCCCAGACATACTTTCCATCAACAAGCAGATAGCGGTGACTGATTGGTGATCTAGAAATATACATGAACAAGGCAAATAATGATATGAAAGCCAAGAAAATCAATTTAGCATGAACCTGGTGAACCGTCATCCGTGAAAGCCAATAAAATAACACCAGTTCACTACAACAACCAAGACAAATTGGATCATTCCATGTGTCTTATTTTAAACCCTGGATACATTGTGCAGAATATATGCAGAATAGCAACAGAAACCATTAATGGAAAAATATGGGTTTTGTATAGAAGCAGAATAAATAATAATAATAATAATAATAATAATAATAATAATAATAATAATAATAATAATAATAATAATAATAATCTAAATAACAATAATTTATAAAGTGCCAATATCACTAAACGGAAGTAAAAATCAAAGGCGCTGTGCATGTTCAAAATGTGGGTTTTGAGTTTGGTCTTTAAGATAAGGATGTGGGGCCAGATTTATCAAACTAGAAATCAGCCTAAATTCATCTTAAGTCCATTTTTTTGCTTAAATCAAATTTATCCATACTGCTTAGCTTAAAAATTGCTTAAAATTAGAAAGTCGATTGTATGTTGGCGCCATCTAAGATGATTTTTAAGCCAAGATTTTGCTAAGATTGGGTAATAAATCAGCTTAAAATATTTATTAGGGACATCATAACTTTTTTGACTTGCTGAGGGATTGGGGGGGGGGG